CGCAATGTGAGCAATCCAAGATCCAAGCAAGCAGATTGCAACAATTCGCTGCATCTAGCACCCCGCCTTAAATGGCTTGACGGTTGGGCAACTACTCAGGTGGCATACTTCTGGACCCACTCACGGGCCGTTTGGTCGTGCTTTGCCCTGTCCTTCAGGTACAACTGGGCGATTTCAGGCACCAGCGGATCGTTTGGGTTCGGGTCTGTGAGTAGCGATGAGATGGACAGCAACACCTTTGAGATAGTGAGCGCTGGGCTCCACTGATCCTTCAGGATGTCAAGGCAGATCGCCCCGTTCGAATTTACGTTGCAGTGGTAGATCTTCGTAGTGAAGTGCACCTTCGGAGGCTTGAAGGGGTAGTCGGACGGGAAGTTGATGTTCAAGAAGAACACTCCGCCCGAGTAAGGGCAATCTGGAGGGCCCATGATGGTGGCCTGCCAGTTGAACATGTCATCGCCGACCGGTCCAGCAGAGCAGTTTGCCGGCGGATCGTTCCCCAAGTCAGTCAACTCCTTCGTGATGCGCTTCAGTGCCATCCAAACGGACGCTTGTTTCCTGAATTGCAATTCTTCAGTCCTGACTCTACCTCTGCTGAACCATGTAATCCGGCGGATGCTTCTTAACTGCAGCTGGCGGCAAACACAAGCAGAAATTCAATCAACTCTCACCGTCTGCTTGCACGTGCCGACAACATTCCTCATTATCTTTCAGTACCTCAAGTGGCCAAATCAACTTGCGCCTTCAGAACATCAGCCCGGCAAGGATGCATGCACGCAGCATCAGGCCCAATTTTCCTGCTAGCATGCGTTGCTAATGCTCAATCTAGCAGCTTCAAAGGTAGAAACTAGCCCCTCAAAGCCGGTCGGCCCAGTTGTGTACACAGTTGTGTGCACAGATGTGTACACCAAATGGCGTACATCTGATGGCCGATCTAGGTGGCATACTTCTGCACCCACTCACGCGCCGTTTGGTCGTGCTTAGCCCTATCCTTCAGGTACACCTGGGCGATCTCAGGCACCAGCGGATCGCTCGGGTTCGGGTCTGTAAGCAAGGAAGAGATGGACAGCAGGACCTTTGAGATGGTGAGCGCCGGGCTCCACTGATCCTTCAGGATGTCCAGGCAGATCGCCCCGTTCGAATTTACGTTGCAGTGGTAGATCTTCGTAGTGAAGTGCACCTTCGGTGGCTTGAAGGGGTAGTCGGACGGGAAGTTGATGTTCAAGAAGAACACTCCGCCCGAGTACGGGCAATCTGGAGGGCCCATGATGGTGGCCTGCCAGTTGAACATGTCATCGCCGACCGGTCCAGCAGAGCAGTTTGCCGGCGGATCATTCCCCAGGTCAGTCAACTCCTTCGTGATGCGCTTCAGTGCCATCCAGACGAACGCTTGTTCTTGAATTTCAATCCTTCTGTCCCGTCACTCCCAACTCTACCTCTGCTGAACCATGCAACCCAGCGGATGCTTCTTAACTGCAGCTAACGGCAAGCAAAAGCAGAAATCCAGTCAACTCTCACCGTCTGCTTGCACGTGCTGACAACATTCCTCATTATCTTGCAGTACCTCAAGTGCCCAAATCAAGTTGCGCATTCGCAACATCAGCCCAGCAAAGATGCATGCACGCAGCATCAGGCCCATTTTTTGCTGTGACGTGCTCTGTTCATGCTCAATCTAGCAGCTTCCAAAGGTAGAAACACGTGGCAACTAAGGTGGAAAAACAGTTCGGCCCAGTTGTGTTCATCCATGGCCATCCAATGGCGTACATCTGATGGCCTGGATCTAGGTGGCATACTTCTGTACCCACTCACGGGCCGTTTGGTCGTGCTTTGCCCTGTCCTTCAGGTACAACTGGGCGATTTCGGGCACCAGCGGATCGTTTGGGTTCGGGTCTGTGAGTAGCGATGAGATGGACAGCAGCACCTTTGAGATGGTCAGCGCCGGGCTCCACTGATCCTTCAGGATGTCCAGGCAGATCGCCCCGTTCGAATTTACGTTGCAGTGGTAGATCTTCGTAGTGAAGTGCACCTTCGGAGGCTTGAAGGGGTAGTCGGACGGGAAGTTGATGTTCAAGAAGAACAATCCGCTCGAGTAAGGGCAATCTGGAGGGCCCATGATGGTGGCCTGCCAGTTGAACATGTCATCGCCGACCGGTCCAGCAGAGCAGTTTGCCGGCGGATCATTCCCCAGGTCAGTCAACTCCTTCGTGATGCGCTTCAGTGCCATCCAAACGGATGCTTGTTTGTTGAATTTCAATTCTTCACTCCTGTCACTCCCTACTCTACCTCTGCTGAACCATGCAACCCAGCGGATGCTTCTTAACTGCATCTAGCGGCAAGCAAAAGCAGAAATCCAGTCAACTCTCACCGTCTGATTGCGCGTGCTGACAACATTCCTCATTTTCTTGCAGTACCTCAAGTGCCCAAATCAAGTTGCGCATTCACAACATCAGCCCAGCAAAGATGCATGCACGCAGCATCAGGCCCATTTTTTGCTGTGACGTGCTCTGTTCATGCTCAATCTAGCAGCTTCCAAAGGTAGAAACATGTGGCAACTAAGGTGGAAAAACAGTTCGGCCCAGTTGTGTTCATCCATGGCCATCCAATGGCGTACATCTGATGGCCTGGATCTAGGTGGCATACTTCTGTACCCACTCACGGGCCGTTTGGTCGTGCTTTGCCCTATCCTTCAGGTACAACTGGGCGATTTCGGGCACCAGCGGATCGTTTGGGTTCGGGTCTGTGAGTAGCGATGAGATGGACAGCAGCACCTTTGAGATGGTCAGCGCCGGGCTCCACTGATCCTTCAGGATGTCCAGGCAGATCGCCCCGTTCGAATTTACGTTGCAGTGGTAGATCTTCGTAGTGAAGTGCACCTTCGGAGGCTTGAAGGGGTAGTCGGACGGGAAGTTGATGTTCAAGAAGAACACTCCGCCCGAGTAAGGGCAATCTGGAGGGCCCATGATGGTGGCCTGCCAGTTGAACATGTCATCGCCGACCGGTCCAGCAGAGCAGTTTGCCGGTGGATCATTCCCCAGGTCAGTCAACTCCTTCGTGATGCGCTTCAGTGCCATCCAAACGGACGCTTGTTTGTTGAATTTCAATTCTTCAGTCCTGTCACTCCTACTCTACCTCTGCTGAACCATGCAACCCGGCGGGATGCTTCTTAACTGCAGCTGGCGGCAAACACAAGCAGAAATTCACCCAACTCTCACCGTCTGCTTGCGCGTGCTGACAACATTCCTCATTATCTTGCAGTACCTCAAGCGCCCAACTCAACTTGCGCATTCACAACATCAGCCCAGCAAAGATGCATGCACGCAGCATCAGGCCCATTTTCTGCTGCGACGTGCTCTGTTCATGCGCAATCTAGCAGCTTCCAAAGGTAGAAACACGTGGCAACTAAGGTGGAAAAACAGTTCGGCCCAGTTGTGTTCATCCATGGCCATCCAATGGCGTACATCTGATGGCCTGGATCTAGGTGGCATACTTCTGTACCCACTCGCGGGCCGTTTGGTCGTGCTTTGCCCTGTCCTTCAGGTACAACTGGGCGATTTCGGGCACCAGCGGATCGTTTGGGTTCGGGTCTGTGAGTAGCGATGAGATGGACAGCAACACCTTTGAGATGGTGAGCGCTGGGCTCCACTGATCCTTCAGGATGTCAAGGCAGATCGCCCCGTTCGAATTTACGTTGCAGTGGTAGATCTTCGTAGTGAAGTGCACCTTCGGAGGCTTGAAGGGGTAGTCGGACGGGAAGTTGATGTTCAAGAAGAACACTCCGCCCGAGTACGGGCATTCTGGAGGGCCCATGATGGTGGCCTGCCAGTTGAACATGTCATCGCCGACCGGTCCAGCAGAGCAGTTTGCCGGTGGATCATTCCCCAGGTCAGTCAACTCCTTCGTGATGCGCTTCAGTGCCATCCAAACGGACGCTTGTTTGTTGAATTTCAATTCTTCACTCCTGTCACTCCCTACTCTACCTCTGCTGAACCATGCAACCCAGCGGATGCTTCTTAACTGCAGCTGGCGGCAAACACAAGCAGAAATTCAATCAACTTTCACCGTCTGCTTGCACGTGCTGACAACATTTCTCAAGCTTTTGCCGTACATCAAGTGCCCACAGAAATTTGCTGATTTTGAGACATCAGCTCAGTGGAGATGATGCAAGCAGCATCAGGCCCAATTTTCCTGCTAGCATGCGTTGCTGATGCTCAATCTAGCAGCTTCAAAGGTAGAAACTAGCACCTCAAAGCCGTTCACCCCAGTTGTGTACACAGTTGTGTACACCAAATGGCGTACATCTGATGGCCTGAATCTAGGTGGCATACTTCTGTACCCACTCACGCGCTGTGGCGTCGTGCTTTGCCCTGTCCTTCAGGTACACCTGGGCGATCTCAGGCACCAGCGGATCGTTTGGGTTCGGGTCTGTGAGTAGCGATGAGATGGACAGCAACACCTTTGAGATGGTGAGCGCTGGGCTCCACTGATCCTTCAGGATGTCAAGGCAGATCGCCCCGTTCGAATTTACGTTGCAGTGGTAGATCTTCGTAGTGAAGTGCACCTTCGGAGGCTTGAAGGGGTAGTCGGATGGGAAGTTGATGTTCAAGAAGAACACTCCGCCCGAGTACGGGCATTCTGGAGGGCCCATGATGGTGGCCTGCCAGTTGAACATGTCATCGCCGACCGGTCCAGCAGAGCAGTTTGCCGGCGGATCATTCCCCAGGTCAGTCAGCTCTTTCCTTGGCTGCAAATTTGAATTCTGAATGTGCCCAAAGGCACAGAGCATTGCCAAGCACTGCACATCATTGCACTTGCTGCTGGGACACTGGATCCTTTTCAACGCCATGCCTTCTTCGCCGCTGGAACACACGTCTGTCTTGAGCGGCTTGAGCCCCGCTGGCGAGTGAAAGCCCACATTCACAAAGCCCTCGTCACTGCACGCTGTGAGGCTTTCTATGTCCCTCAGCCACTTCGACCGACGCTGGCTGTCCCCGACGCCCGGCCTCGGCTAGCAGCACTGCATCGTCTGCTTCTCGGCGCTGTTCCTGGCCAGCTTGGAACATCCGCAAGACGGGCTGAAAGCCTGAACAGTGCAACGCTTTGCAAACCCCAATGCCTAGCGCTAGCTCGCAAGTCTTTTGGAACAGGCTGCGCCTCCATATGCCGAAGCCTCTTTTCCAGCTCTTCTGCTCTTGCGTCTGCCTTGCCAAACGCAGAGGAAACCCAAAACCGTTGAGCGTCAGATGTGACAGAAAGCACTCGCCGACTCGCCGCGTGTTCTTTCCTTTTCTGCGTATGGCATGCGCTGCCCCGAGGGAGCTGCTGCCCCCTTTTCCGAGTGTGCCCGAAGGCCACTTCTTGAGATCGCACTTCTCGCGGGTCTCATTTCCGGGGGGATCTGGAACGGCTCCGCGCACGTAGCCGGGCTGTGGCCTCACAAGCCGGGTAATGATCTTGATATATCTTGATGTTTTTTGATTTCTGTCTCTCTCACTCACTCACATTCACTCACCCTCTCTCTCTCTGACAGCTTCGCCTCGCAAGTCGACCGCGCCTCGGCTGCTGCTTTCTCTGCGCGGTTGCGCTCCTCCTCTGCCTTCTGCACCTGGCATAGTCTCCGGAGGTGCCACACGGATGGCTTCACAAGTTCAGGCCACAAGTCACCAAGCGACAGAGGGCCAACTTGCAAGATCGCAGATTTTGGGATGACCTGATGGGAAAACTTCACAAAGCAGGGGGCTCCACCAAGCCACAACTTCTTTTGAAGGAAAAGCAACCACTGCGAGCCTTGTCGAGCCCTGTGTGTGCTCTCTCCTTTGCATGATGACCTCCCCCCCACTCCACTGAGTTCAGGCACCTGGGCTTGCATCTCGTCGAGCTTCTGCGACGCGGTCTCGTGCTGTCCTGGGTGCCCAGCCGAGCTAAAGACTTCAAGAGGAACACATGCCTGTGGCTCAAAAACATGTACCAAAATGGCACCTTGGTAAGTGGAACCAAAGATTAAAACCGCGTAGCCCTAGCTCTTGAATTTTGAGCCACAGCCACATGAAGTTTGGTGTCGACATGACAAACAGCCTTGAACATTGAAGAAAACGAATTGCCTCTTTTGCACGCTGGGTACTTGAAAATGGGCGCTTCAGGGCCCGGCCAGATTTGCCAAGCTGTGCCCTCACGCCTCATGTTTCGTGCCCATTAAAATTTCCCATCCCACGCCTGACAGGGCTCACACATGGCCGCGCATTTGCTAAGACGCCCTTGGGAAGCCTGTGGGGGTAATTATGCATGTTTCGGGGGTTTGGTTGGGGGTATGGCTCTGACTTCTTGCTTCTTGGCTTTGGGCGCTGCAATTCTCATCTACACCAAACAGCGCGTAAACCTTAAACAGCTGCAGACTGACGCTCAAAGCAGCCGCGGCACTTTACTTACCTCGCACAGCCTGAGCGGTCAGTCTTCAGCAAGTAGACACGTGCTTCTTCAGAAACTTTGAGCATGTACGCTTTGCTTTCGCGCGCGGGCTTCCGCATAGCAGCGATTTTCCTGTCTAGTTTTGAGAGGTTTCTTCCAGGCGCTGGCGAGAACTTGCTTTGACACGCCCCGCCAATGAATGCGCTTGCTGAGTTATCTTCCTTCGAGGCGCTGCAGGCCTTGCGAGTCCAGCCTCCAGCGATCCCCCCACGGCACCGCAACGACACGAGCTACGTGAGCGTCGTTTTTTCTGGACGGAACGGGAAAAGAAGAAAAAAACAACACAAAACGGCATCGGCGTGCGGGCGGGAGCGTCGCCACGGCCACACAGAACCACCGCCACTGGCCCTTCGTCATCGCTCCCCCGCACAGATTCAACTAAGCGTGATGTCACATGTGCACACAAAACGACACCCCAAACATCAGTTTGGCAAAAGGAACGAGTTCCGCATAGTTTCGTCATGTCCAACCTCCAGCGCACCTACCTATTGGCAAGGCCCCACCCCCTCCAACACAAACTCCCGAGCCAAGCGCCCGCCCCGTCGCCCCGTCGCATCCCGTCGCCGAGCGGCGCCGCAGCTTCCGCAGCTCCGCCTCCACGGCGCTTCGCTGCCGCGCGGCGCGGTCCGCGGAGGACTCCGCCGAGCCCAGGCGCTCCTCCAGCGCCTGGGCCGCGGCCCGGGAGATCCCCAGGCCATGGGTCGAAAGACCGGTAAACTGAACATCCCAATCCAACCACAAACATAAGTGCTAAAATGGGTGGTGAATTCACCTACCCCAAAACGGGATACCATTGGTTTTGACCCACAGCCAAATATCCACAGATATCCCCCAAAGAAGGGAAACCAGACTTGGTGGTGATTGGAGCTGGGGATGTGGTTGGCTCTCCGCCAAAACTAAAATTGAGAAGGGCCAGCCAAAGGTGATCTTGTGTGATTTCTGTGTTGTACGATGGGTGTAGCAACAAATAGGGCGGACATGTGGTCGTAATGTGATCTGTGTCGTGGATGATGATACGTGGTTTCAATGCTTCTCATGTAAGAAAGCAAAACCGAGCTGCGGACAATGGGTGCGGAGTTTCTTTCTGTGACCCTGTTTCCTCCAAGCCCACCCTGCTAGTCATCGTTCGCCTTTTGCTTCAAATCCAGAAACCCAGAAACAAGTCCGCGCCCCCAGCTGGACATTCTTTATCTTAGCCGATCTGAGCCTTCTTAACAGAGCCCGGCCAACCATTGTCCAAGGGAGGCATAGCCGAGGCACTCAACAGAGGCAAGAAATGTCCCCAGCTTTAGGCTGGAACCAACCCGATGACAGGACCCCAAAGGACCGAAGCAGACCGACAAGCACCGAGGACCAAAAATGACCGTACTCAACTAGCACGGCTTAGGCGGCACTAAGCAAAACTGATACACATACTTACTTAGAGACTACTTGGGGGACTACGTAGGGGGGGACAAACTTTTCAAGGCTGTTCACAACCCTGTTTAGACCAATTGGGCAGTCACCTGTAAAAACCGAAAGGAGGTCGTGCCAAGATTGTTCTGGCTGTTCTGCCCAGAAGACGCAGAGACCAAGGCTTCTAGCGGCGCCTTGTACATGCTTGAGGCGTCGTCTGCGGCTCGCTCAGCCGCCTTCCGCCCTTTGAGGGCTGCATCCACCTCTGCCTGGCCGCGAGATGCCAAGCAAACAGGGACGACTGCTCCAGTGCTAAATGGCTCATGGCGCCTTTGCGTCTTCTACACTTTTCACGAACGGATTGTTGTTGGCTCGCTCCTCCAGAAAAATGCGCATTGGTCTGCGGCATCTGCATCCAAAGTCACGGTCCTTCGCCTTCTTTTCTGCAGCCGATCGCCCCTCGCAGGCCTAAAGGCATCAAACCTGCGACCAGCCAAACCTTCGCGCTGGGCCTTCTTTGCCGCGGTCTCGTACTGCAACACCTCCGAATGGGCCGCCTAGGTGCAGCATCCGCCAGCAGGGCAGCTGCAAGAGTTTCTCTCTCTCTTGCACTTTGCTATCTCCAGCCTCGTGCTCCTTCTCCACCTTTGCCAGTGATTCGCCCGAGCTTTTGATCTCCTGACGCATGGCCACGCATGGCCGCGCATGTCAATCATCCAGCCCATATCAGCCTGAGAGCCTGAGCGAAGGAAACAGCGCAGCGCTCCTTCGCGATTTTTGTAGCCTTCTTCTCCAAGCTGCGCGCATCTTGGAAGGCCTTCTTCTCTGCAGCATCCTTGGGCAAAACCGTTTCATCTGCCGATTGTTTCTTTTCAAAAGCGTGAGCCCGTCGTCTCGTCTTCAAGTCCTTAAGCTTCACCATGAGGTCCAGTGCTTCCTTCTCCTGTCGCACCTCCTCCTGAGCAACGCAAGTGGCCAACACCTGAACTGGCCAAGCTGACTGCGAACATGTGACTGCATCCGGCGCACTCCATGCGGCTAAACACAGCTAACATGCCATCATGCTCGTCAAGCCGCCAGCTGGCGTAGAAGTGCCTGGCCAGCACGCGTTTTGAATCTATTCGGTCAACCAAAGCCCAACCTTCTCCTCTTCGATCTTTGCTGCAAGGCCCTTCCTGTCCCAAGCACTCGGAGATACTCGAAGCGCGGGGTCTTCGCATTCTATTGGCACGGCATTTTCTTTGGATCTGCCGCCAGGCTGCTGCACCTTCTCCCGCTCTGCGCCGTAGCTCATGGCCTGCGCTGCTGTAAGCTGAAACCGTGACGGCATCCCGCGCATCCTAAAAGTCCGCGTCCAGTCCTTGGACATCTCCAAGGCTGCCTCCTGACAACGAGGCACTGGCCCGCACATGCCATGCTCGCCCGCGGGCCTCGTAGGCACTCCTCTGCGCCTTTTCCTTCTCAGCCACCATCTTCTTCAAAGCCTCGAGGGCAGGCGGAGACACATTGGCAGGCAAAACAAGAATGAAAAAATGCGAAGGATGCGAGAGCCTCCACCTCTAGTGCAGTCACCTCCTTCTTCGTCATGGCCTGCTGGGCCTCAAAAATCACCCACTGGCACACTGGAGTGGGCCACCCACGTGTGCCTTCTCCTGCGCTTGTCGCTCGGCCGTCATGGACTTCGAGATCCTCTCGGCTGAGCCCTGCCAAGCCGGCAGCGCGAAGGAAAGAGCGAGTAGAAATCCTCAAGTGGGTGCGCCTCTTTGGGAGGGTGCCCTTGTTGGTTGTTGTAAAGGGAAACTAAAGATATAGCCACCATTCTAGGGGGGTCATGAAAGGTCCCCAAAGAATTGGCACACACGCAGACACGCACAATCCAGCATGGCCAGCTGGCCCAGGCCTTCTCCCTTTTGAACCTCTCTGCCGACTTCTCCTGCATCTGTCGCGCACACATCTCCCCCCGGTCCTGCCTCAGGTTACCCTCCCTCTATCCCCACAGAATCGATTCATAGCAGGGCGGGCAGCGATTCATCCCGTATAATATATATATATATATATACATGATACATACATATATATATATACATAAGTAGTATGTGCTTTCTTTCTCTATGTATACATATCTTTATTCAATTCCCCCGTCCTCTTTGGCCAACTTCTCATTGGCCTCCAGCTCCCGCAGCCGCGCCGCCGTGGCCGCCTTCTCCCGCGCTTTCCGCTCCTTCGCCGCCTGCGGTCTCCCGTGGAACGGGCGGAGACCAAACACTGCCATTGGAACCCCCCCCCCCCCCCCGCCCCCGCAGCAGTTTCCGGTTTCTAGCTGTTGCTTTTTTGCACCTCCCAGTTTCCACTTCTCGGCTTGTTTGCGAAGTTGGTTCAACCAATTGGGGTGTGTCGGTTCAAATCTGTTCAAGTCATTCTGTCTTTGAAACGAATGCCCGGCATGCCTTGTCCAGGTCAAGGGATTCCTTCAGCTCCTTCGCGCTCGTCAGAGCTGTTTTCTCCGCATCCTCCTGTCAAAAAAAGGAGCGCCATCCCAGGTGCACACCGGAAACCAACGTTCCGCGAGGAATGCCACCTGGCCTTTTCATTCAAATGCTTTTCTGTTGCATTGATCTCGAAGCCGATCCTGAGCCAAAACACACCCGCGTCGGCCGTCAGCATTTGGCCAAGGCGCTTGGCAACGGCCGCTTGCTCCTTCTCGTATTTCAGATGCCTCACTTTGGCTCCATGAGCTTTTTGAAAGAAACCCGCATACGTGCTGAGCGACAGGGATCTCCAAGCTGCGGCCTGGCAGAGAATGGATGCGAAGTCGCCAAAAGCGACAGCTGCCTTGTGCTTCGCGTATTTCTCTGCTGATGTCTTCTCCACGCGCCACCTCTCCTGAGACTGCAACTTGTCACGTCCAACTCTTTCAGAAGTGCTACCGATGTGTCCCGCCTTGTCAGCCGCGGCCTTCTTTGCCTTGGAGTCGGCATCACCACCTTCCTTTGTATCTTTAGAGTCCTTCGAATCCTTGGCGTCCTTGGCATCCCTGACTTTCTCCGCTTCTTCAGATGCCTTTGCCTCCTTAGACTCCGTTTCACCCTTGGCATCTGCCTGCACGTCTGCTGCTGACTTGCTGTCTTGCGCGCCGTCTTTCACATTGACTCCCTTGGCATCCTTCTCCCCGGCATCCTGTGGAGTGCCCTCTTTGGCACCTTTGGCGTCGGCGTCTTTGCCAGCTTCGGCGTCTCCGGCAGAATTCTCGGCGGCATGTGCGTCTTTGGCCGGTCCTGCGGCGTGGGACTTCGGACTTCCTGCTGCCATGCCCCACTGGCAGGATGGAGGGAGTTACCATGTTTCTGCTACCTGCACACACGCACACCCCTGTGTAGCTATCTATGTGTGCATGGCATGGAATGGCATGGCATGGAATGGTATGGCATGGTATGCATATCTGTCTGTCTGCCTGTATGTCTGATGATGCATGCATGCCTGCATGTCTGCTGCATGTACAGAAGGGAAAGCACTAGGTAGATTCTCAGACCCCAAAGAAACCTACGGGACCTATGACCCACCCAAGCCATCAAGGTCCTTGCCAACTTGGCCTAGGTTGTCAATCAGCGAATTCAAACTTGAAGTAAGTCGAGCTGGCAAAGGAACCTGCATTGGAGGCATGGCATGATGCAAGGCAATGCAGCGCATGCAGTGCTTTGAAACTTCAGGGCGCAGAAATTGCAACCAGCTGCCGCAGCCGAAAAAACAAACTTAAAAACAGGCAGCACGGGCCCCAGCCCAGGTCCTGGCTTTGCTTTGGAGCTCCTGAAAGTCAGGTGCCCTCCTTCGAGCGCAGGCTCGCATGCGAAGCGCTTGGGCCCCTGCGCCGAAGCCTGAGCAGCCTGAGCCTGAGGCAATTGCAGTCAAGTAACTAAGTACCAAGGGAAGGAAGGCTTCGCGGCCTCGTCGCCCTTGGAACTGGATGCACTCGCCTTGGTCTTTTTGAGTGTCCAGTGCGGGCCAGGGCACGCGCGCCGATTTCGGCCGGTCCTTTGGCATCGCCTTTGACTTCGGCTTCGCCGCGGCCTGCGCTTCCTTCTCTTTGGCCTCGTTGGAATCCTTGGGGCGCATGGCGCAGCCACGCGCCATGGCGCCGTAGGGGCTGATAGGCTCGGGCCTGGCGAGTGCTCAGTGGCCTGGCGCGACGAGCGGGGCGCGCAAAGCTGGCTCAAGAAAGCGCCCCAAGCCTCTTGACAGACTCTCGCTCGGATTGCCTTGCCGTTCAAAGCTAGGCTTCCACGGAAGGCTTTGCAACCACGCCAAGGGCTAACAAGCCAATACAGATTTCACGCGGAAAGAAACTGCTTCGCACTGCACTGCGTTTGTACCTCGTGACCTCTTCAGACCGGACGAGGCACGTGGAGCTCGGAGGGTTGTAGGGCGCCACTCTGGCCCAGGAGAAGGACCGGCGCCGCCCATCCTCAAACACGAGCAACCCCCATGCAACGGGAGGTGTCGGATTTCATTGCGCGCGACCGGGCGGCATTGGCCACCCACAGGATGGAGTCTGGCGCAGAGAGTACCACCCCGGAATCCAGTTGAAGCTTGAAGCCTTGCACAGGCCAGAAGCTATCAGCTAGAACTGATGGGCAAATGGAACAAAGTGCGGCTAACTTGAAGCAAGGCCATGTCATGATAAAGCCTTCCATTCCAGCTCGGCCAAGCGACTCTTACCCCACACCACTGTCTCCACATTGTCGCGGCCAGTCTGGATGCGGATGAGGCCAGGTGTGTTTCGCACCCCGCCGTCGGGTCTGGGCAGCGTCTCACGTGGCCTGACCGCCTGGCCTGCTTGCTTGGCCCAGCTTTTCCGATTTAGAAAGTAACCCCGTGGATTTCACTAATGGCAGGCTGGGAGAAAAAGTGGCGAGCTTTCGATCCTGACGCTCTATGCTAAGCAAAACCTCGAGTTCTTTTTGCCCGGTTGCCGGCCTGAAGGTAGTGACGTTAAGGCTTTTGCCTCGGAAAGGCAGGGCGGGTGGTCCGAGCGTGGAGTGCGTCGACTCAGCACCTGGCCCGGGACCTGGATCTCCAGCTCGTAGCGCGAGCCTTGCTCATCCCTCCAAATGCCGACCAAACTGGTCAGCGCATCGTTGCCCAGAACCAGCGTCTGACCTCACACACACTGGATACACTAAAATAGACTAGAATGGGTGCACCTACCCCAAAATGGGATCCCATTGGCTTTGACTCATTGACCCAACTCGTGCGAAGCTGGGGAAAGCGAGAGGCCCTGGCCGACAGTGAAGCCTGCACTCGAGTTGAGACCAAGCATGTCCACGACATCTGGCTCGGCATCCCTCCAGGACAGGCCCTCGCCCGCGCCTATGTACAATGCAATGTCTTGATGGTTTTTGTGTTTTCGCTGAAACAACTCTGGCTGTTCTTGCTTTGGCCCATTCTGCTAGTTAAGGTCCGGCGGTTGAAGCTATGAGCCCTTTTTCGCCCTTGTCCATCGTGTCTGAACATGTGAGGCGACAAACGGCCACCTTGGCTGAGCCTAAATCTCGCGCAGCCACTCACCGAACCGAAACCAACCAGCGACTCACGCACAAGCGCATGCGTCAAGCTTGCCCTGGTGAGACCCGCTTCCCGTGCCTCCTGGGTGGCGATCCGCACATGGCGCGCCTCCTGGGACTTGGCATCTGCCAACTCGCCTGCGGGGCCAACCGACACCCCCCCCGTTCGTATCTTAACCTCGACTTAGGCGCCCACTTTCAGAGAGCCGGAGCTTGCAGGAGAGCTTGTTCACCTCCACCTGTCCAGTGGCCGAAAGATCCGAGCTGAACCGGCTGAACAGGGCCCTCATGTCATTCAACATGCCAGTCGGGCCTCCAGCAAGCCAACCTGGCGCTCCGCCTCCACCTGGGCGAACCATGCTCCCGGCGCGCGCCAAGTGATGGACTCGCGCCTTGGCGGCCTGCTGGGCCAAGAGTTGCTGGCGCAGCTCCTGCGAGCGAATCCGTGGCTTGAGTCACACCTCCTGCCAAGGGCCAGCCATCTTCCTGCAAATGCTGGCCCTGTCCTTCGAGTCGTTTTCCAGTATGGACGAATCGCTGACCTGGACCCAATGACAGCGAGAGAACAATGCTCAACTTGAAATCGCATGGAATTCCTTCACACACCGCACCTTGGACTGCAAAGCCATAAGCTGTCTACCGGCCTCGCAGCTGGGCTAGCAGCACTAAGGCTAGTTGATATCTTCGGCCCTGCGTTGCCTCTTTACTTTCCATCCGGGAGGTATCAGCTCGCATGCGCTCTTCTGCCAGTGTCGCCTGAGCAATGGCAGCCATCACACTTCTCGCACTATTGATTTGTGTGTGCAGCTTAAGTCTCAAAGTCAAGACTCAAGGCATTGCATGGTTCAACTTGCCGAGCACATTCCTCACTTCCAAGGCCTCTGTCTTGGCCAGCCGCTGCGCAAGGCCCTCGCGGCTCTCATCGTGCGCCACCTGAGTGCCAGGCCATTCCCTTTCCGTCCCTCACACTGCATTCGCCCACCTGCAAGTCCGACATGGCCAGCTTCATCTCCCGGGCCTGCGTAAAACTAAATACCGGTCGTGGGGTCCATTAAAAACGGCACCCTCCAATCTGCAAATCCAAACTGTTGCTGATACTGAGCAAGCGTGTTCCTTGCCCACGTGACAGAATGAAGTGCATCAACACCACGCAAAACTGACATAACTTGCGCAACGATGCGAATCTCATACCGGCCCAAATCATTGTTCTTTGCGGGAACTTTCGGTTTGACACGGGTCAGGCATCGATGGGCAGCAAGACTTTTCTGCCCGGCCTGACGCTCCTCATGGCGGAGTCGATGCCTTTCCTCCACCAACAAGGCCTCCGAGACTTGGGAGTGCTGCTTTGACGACCCAGCGAGGGTCACTTCTCTTGGCTTTCCCTCTTCGCTTGCGACTTAAGACTTACGGCTTACGTGCAACAGCCAACCCCCGGCCCATGGACAATGGACGGCCTCCGTCCGGCTGAGTTGCTCTGTCAGCGCCTGGACCTTTTTTCCGACCTGGCCGCGGCAACGGGACTGCCCTGAAACATGACCCGCTGCAACCAGCCCAAAGCAATGCGCCTGCATCGAGCTCGTTTGCAATGCCCAGCTCTGCTGCTGCGCCTCCTGTGCCTCTGATTGGACCGGTGTCCGAGTTCGCGTCGGGAGAATTCGGCCAAGTCGGTCCAGCAGTCGAGACATGAAATGCGCCCCGCCCCGCCTCATGCTCCTCCTGGGCAAAGCGCCGCTGCTGGCGCTCCAGGGCTGCCTCGCTGACACAAACGCGGACGCGAGAGGCATGCACGAGGCAAGCTGGAGCGCCAGCGCCTCCAGCCTGGCGCTTTGCCGCTCCGCCTGCGCCGCGAAAGTTCGCTTCACTCACGCCCGGCAGTCCGCCATGGCCAACCATGGCCAACCTCCTCCGCGCGCAGGAGGTGTCCATGCTGAGTCCTTTCACCTCAGCCCGACCCACGGCAAATTGGTGCCTGGCCTCAGGACATCTCAGGCACCAGCTCTCCACTTGCCACACGACGGCCGCCTCTGCAGCCCGCCACCTTTGGCCCAGCTCTGTGCAACTCAACAGCCATTGGCTGCTGTGATCGCGCCTCTCCCTCCACGCCTAGCTAGCAAGGTCTGCCAGATCACCCGGGCCTAGCAAGTGCCTGCGCTGCCACCCGGAACCAGGCATTGAAAACCAGAGCGGCCTTGGACAACACATCACCGGATCCATACAACTTCAAGTTGGCATGGCGGCCGAAGCCGCACTTAGCACCCACGCCTTCGACCTTGCCTGCCAGATCGACAAAACTTCATCCCTCAAGATCTAATGCATCGATGCCTTGGACTGCGCCTCCATGCTCCTCACCGGATGCAAATACGAGTCAGACCTGAGCCTGGCCTCCAACCAGCCTGTCCAGCTCTCGCGACTGCCGCAAGTGCAACTCGTCCTGCTGGTGCTGGAGCCGAAGGCCTCGACTGACGCCGGTCGCTCGTGTCACGCCATGGGACCATGCCTCGGTTCTCCTCAGTGACAGCGCGCAGCCGTGCTTCCAAGAGCTGGTTGTAGGCCTCGCATCCGGGATGCCTTGAGCCCCTGGACTGGCCTGAATGCCCTGAGGCCAGGCAAGCAGTGCTTTTTTCTCAGCGGATGGAGAGCCTTGCGCAGAGCGGGCAAAACCACGCGTGCACGTCCGGCAGGGCAAAAGGCACCATAAGTTCATGAGCATCAAATGCGGCTCGAATGGCAGACTCAGCTGGCTCCAAGACAACTTCTGGCCCAAGCGCCTCCAACATGACTGGGCACACTGGGCACCCTCGACAATGTCGGCTCCTGCTGGGCGTGCCGGTTCAGCCCTCTAGCTGTGCTTGCTTCGGCAAATTCGTGCCCGTGCCCCAAGTTGCAGCTGGATGCCTGCAGCGTCACAGGCTCCATGATCTGGAACTCGTCATGGGCCTGCGGCCGTGCCGGGCGGCCAATTTCTAGCTGTGTGGCCACTAGGGCTGCCGCGGGGCTGCCGCGGTCGCGGTGGTTCTCTCGCCTGCCATGCAAATCGCAAATTGGGATAAAGATTGATGAATTTGCTTCATCAAAGACCGCACCTCCTTGAATGGCTTCGAAAGGAAACGAAAAGGCAACCCTACCAGAGAATCTGAGGCCCTATTTTTGGAAGCGCTCATTTCCCGGCTTTAAGACAAGGCCTCCGAGCGTTGGGCGTGTTGCCTTGGTCGCCCATTTCAGGGCGGAGCGTCTCTCTTTCTTCGTTGCGAGGGCCCCTGCTGGGCGTCTTCACCTGCAAGCCCTTCTGCGCCTAAGGGCGCCACATGACACCGTGAACTTCAGGCGCACTGAGGTCACAGCATGCGCAAACATCTCAGACAGCATCACCTCCGGCCAAAAAGCACGACTTGTGATCTTCTTGTTGGTCACGTGCTCTTTTCCGTTGTCAGCCGAGGTCGCCGCGGCAAAGACATGAGTTCAGCGGCAAGCACTCAGTTGCCACTAGACTCAAGCGGTGCTAAATTATGGTCGGGCAGCTGGCTGAGCCGTGGCATGCTGAGTTGCCATGGTTGGTGCCCTAGGGAATAAACTGGTGGCACATTTAGCCAGCTGCGCCGATATGATTGATGTGATGAGGTTATGACTCCCATTTGGCACCCATTCCTCGCCAACAAAAAACTATACAAGCTATACTGCGGATAGCGGCCAAATGACAAAATCTCAATCGGTCACGAGCATTGCAGCACGACCACCTCGAATCAGTTCCGGCCAGCTTTTCTTTTAATCACGCGCTGCGAGCTGAACCACAGGCGAGAAAAAGCGGCACACGGCGATGTTATCAGTATGAACTGTCTTTGAAGCAAACATCGTCATCCCTGGGGCTTTCAACCTGATGCTCCAGCAAGCCCGAGCTCCTAATCGCTATCCCTTTAGCATCAAATGCCAGCCGGGAGAAACCGTGCTTCACGCGGAAGTGGCTTTTGCTTCTCAAAGTCAGGGAATCATCCGGTGGTTAGCCCCCAAAGCCCTTCCTTGAGACGTGACGGAACCGGACGCTGGGCACAATGACTGGGGCCATCTCTCGCCTGCTCATCTGATGCCGGCTCAGCCCTTCTTCTCCTTCTTGGCCTGCGAGCTGCTGCGAGCTGACACGGAACTGAGGCGCGCGCTGCCCACGGCGATGGCCTTCTTTTCCTTGTCCTTGGGCTTTTCGGCCTTTTTCTCCTTATCTTTCCCCTTTTCTTTGGGTTTCTCCTTCACTTTTTCTTTCTCTTTCTCCTTTTCTTTCTCCTCAGCGTTCGGTCCAAACAAGGAGCAGCGCACCCACATGCCAACAAAGAGAGAGAGAGAGAGAGGGAAAAAAAAGAGAAAGAGAGAAAGAAAGAGAGAGAGAGAGAGAGAGAAAGAAAGAAAGAAAGAAAGAAAGAAAGAAAGAAAGAAAGAAAGAAAGAAAGAAAGAAAGAAAGAGAACCGCCACCTTCTCCTTCTTTTCCTTCTTCTCCTTTTTTTCCTTCTCCTTCTTGTCTTTCTCTTTTTTCTCCTTCTTCTCCTGTGAGTGGCGCGAAGCAGGAAGAAGCAAGTCACAAAAACCCTACTAGCATCTTCAAGCTTCTTCCCCTCCTTCTCCTTCACCCGGCTTCTACTGCGGCTACTGCGACCTCGAGGCGCCATGCGTCAGGCACGTCCCTTGCGACCGCCGGGGCTCAGACGGCTGCGGCTGCGGCTGTCGCGGCCTGCGAAGGGACCAGGCTGCAGGGCACCAGACGGGTCCCGTGTGAGTCCAAGCGCGACAGCCGGGCTGCGGCTGTAGCTGTAGCTGTATTCACTACGCCTCAGGTCAGATGGCCATGAATCAAAATCGCGTACCCCAGTGAACATCCCAATCCCCACTAAATCAGGTTCTAAAATGGGTGGTGCACCTACCCTAAAATGGGATCCCATTGACAGCCAGATCTGCAAATTGAGAACCCATTCATCCAACCCTATCCCCATCCCAAAGGCTCTCGCTGGCCAGGGGGCGGCGGGCCCGGAGCATAAGGACCTGCGAGAAAGACATGACAGACTCTCCGGTAACTCGGGGCGGCTCTCTTCTGGCTTCCCAGTTTTCGGCACAACTTTCATGAAACGTTAGGCCTGTGGAATCTACCCGGCAAGAAACCTTCACACTTCCCCACCTGGTGGGCCACTGTAGCCTGCAAAACGCCAAGGTGCACTGCATATGTGCGGTTTGCTGGCACCCCTGGCTTGCAAATGCCGCCATCTGGCTTTCTGGTAAAGCAAGTGCCAACACTGCAAGTTCAAGCTGTAAACTCCCTCCTATCAAACTGCAACTTGCAAGCGTGGGCTTTTCCTCTGATCTCGTCCTTATGCTAAGCTGGGCATAGGCTTGTAGGTGACCTTCCTTGGGTCTCTGCTGCCCGTGCGCTCCAACAAATCCTCCTCGTACTCGGTGTAGCTGCCTTCAAAGAACTTCACCTGGCCAAACTGCAAACATCAGGCAGCATCAAACAGCTGCTTTGAAACACTTCCAGCGGGCCCATGCGCTTAACATCCAATGTGGTCCTGGCCTCCGAATCGCCTTCATAGGCCATGATGTGGGTGGCGATGCGGTCCAGGAACCAGCGGTCGTGGCTGATGCAGAGCACCGTGCCCGCAAAGTTCTCGATGGCCGTCTCCAAGGCTCGGAGCGTGTCCACGTCCAAGTCGTTAGAGGGCTCGTCCAGCATCAAGACGTTGCCGCCCAGGCGCAGCGTCTTGGCCAGCTGCAGGCGGTTCCGCTCGCCACCGCTCAGGGAGGACACCGGCCGCTGCTGAATCTTGCCCCTGAAGTTGAACCAAGAGCAATAGGCCCTGCTGTTCACTTCTTTGCCGCCCACGTCAATGACATCAACCCCACCTGTGAGCTCCTCAAAAACGGTGGCATCCGGATCCAGCTCATCCCGCATTTGCTCCACATACATTGGTGCCACGGTACTGCCCACGATCAGTTCCCCATCATCTGGTGTTTCCTTACTCGCGCCCCATGGGGGCTATCAACTCCATTCGTTTAACATGGCTAATGCAGCTCCAGGCGAGAGAACCCACAGTTTCAGCCACAGCGGCCAAGCCAGCCATGATCTTGAACAGGGTGGACTTGCCAGCGCCATTGGGGCCAATAATTCCCACCACAGCCCCTGCAGGGATCCTCGGCTGTATGCCCCGCAATGCCCCGCACCGTGCGCCATTGCAAATGAGAAGCCGTGAGGTTTTTGGTGCCCTTGTGACCCCACTTGTGTTTCACCCCAAGTCTCCCCGCGTTCGTTTTCGTCTCGGTGTCTCAGTGTCTCAGTCGCTCGGTTTTCGTCGAGCCGCTCGAACATGGCGTCGCTGATCAGAAGCCGATCGCCGAAGCCCTTGGAAAGGCGCCGCGCTTCAACCACCGGCTCGCGCGGGTCCTCGGCGCGTCGGCTCTCGGCCCGGTTGCCGAATGCGTGCGCCCTCCAAATCGCGAGAGGCACCGAGATGCACTGAGGTCTTGCTGCAAAGCCAACATGAACAAAGTTTGGTTGACGCCTAGAGAAATTCGGCCGGCCGGCGAGTCGAGGCCCAGGAGTGATGACGATGGAGTCCAGCTCGGAGCTGCGATTGAAGCTCTTCGCGGCACTCTCCAACTCCTCAAACTTTCCTGACATCGACTCGACCCGAGCTCGCACAACGAGCAAGTTCTCACGCGGGGGACAAACATGAACATCTCCAACACGAAGATTCATGGAGAGAAGCCCGTCTACAATGAGCACATGACAAATATTCGGCCAACGATGGCCGAAGTACGCGCAATCTCTTGCTGACTGCTGTCACGTCTCGCAGGCGCGCTTTGCCTTTCTTCTGCCTGCCGGCTTGAGGTGTGAGACTTTGCATCTGCCATACCGGTTGAGCAACGCCCCGCCTTCCGCTGCGCCTGGCATTGATGAACTCAAGCTCCTGCTTGCGCTGGCAAACCGCATATTTCTGAAGCCTTCGCCACATGGCGGCTAAGAAGCTGGCCATGAGAGAGCTAGAGAGAGAGACTTGAAAGACTTGAAAGACTTGAAAGACTTGAGAGACTTGAGAGACAGGGCCAGGTAGACTTGAGAGAGAGGGGGAGGGACTGCACCCCCGAGCAAGCGGCAGTCCTTGGCCATCTGCGACTCCAGCGTGGCCTTGCGCTTCGACTCGGACTTCAGGCGGCTGGCCTTGTGCTCCAACCAGCCCGAGTAGTTCCCCTGGAACGGCAGGCCCTTGCCTTGATCCAGCTCCAAAATCCTCAGCCGGGCAAAAAAAAGAAGTCCCCCAAGGAGTCTGCAACTCAAGGGCGGCCGTGCGGCCAGGCAACGGCAACAACTCTTGCTCAGTCAAGCTTCCAACCAGCCACATTGTCCAAAAAGTAGCGGTCGTGGGTGATGGCCACAACAGTGCCCTTGAATTCAGCCAGGAACCGCTCCAGCCAGGCCACGCTTTGAGCGTCTAGGTGGTTTGTGGGCTCATCCAGCAATAAAATGTCGGGGCTGGACCTTCCAAAACGCCGGCAACACAACAGCGACGATGGATTGATTCAACATCAGGCCGAATTGACATGTCCCTGTGGCTATCTGTGGCTCTTGCTTGCTCCTCTTGCCAGGGTGCATAAATTCGGGTGCTTTCAACAAAGAAACTGGGGCATTTGACTTGGCCATGGGTCAAAAGGTCCCGTATCCCCAGCGAACATCCCAACCCCCACTAAAGCTTCTAAAATGGGGTGAATTCACCTACGAACCAAAATGGGATCAACCACAACGGTTTGGACCACCACAGCCGCATGGCCCGGCTGAGTGGCAGCAGCAGGCGGCAGATGGCCACGCGGCGCTGCTCGCCGCCGCTGAGGGTGGCCACCTTGGCGTCCCGCGGCGGGCAGCGCAGGGCCTCCATGGCCGCGTCCAGGGTCACGTCGATGTCCCAGCCTCATTTGGCATTCTATGGTATTTGGATTCATTTGGATTCGGTGTCTTCAGTTCTCTCGGTGTGTACGAGTTTGTGGTTGGTTGCTATATATGAGAGGGTTTGACGAACAAACAAATGTCGCTCAATTCGGGTACGTTCGTAAGTTCTTCTGACTGGCGCTGGGCTGAACGGCTTCTGGCCCACACTTCTGCATACTATTGCCTGTCGCTGCCCCGGCACCATTCACGGCATCAATCTTGGACTGCAGCTGCTCCATCTTTGCCACCAGCAGGTCCATGTCAGCGTCCGGGTCGGCCATTTGGCCAGTGACCTCCTCGAACTCACGCACCATGGCGCTGATGTGATCCAAGGCAGGGCGCAGCGTCTCGATCACCGTCTCTTCTTCCAGCACGGGCTCCTGAGGCAAATACCCGATCTTGATGTCCGGGTCCATGTGGAGATTTCCCTGGAACGCGTCATCTTTGCCCGCTAAAATTCGCATCACCGTGCTCTTTCCGGCACCGTTCTTGCCCAGAATGCCAATTTTGGCGCCCATGTACATCCCCAGGCTGACGTCCTTCAAGATAAAGCTGCCATCTTGCGACTTCTTGTCCACATGGTCCAGCGACAAAATGATGTCTCTCGTCTCTTGGTCGTAGGCATCGGGTGCCGCGCTGTCTGAGGAAGGGATTGGCGTGGACTTGCCGCCCTTCCTTCCCTTCCGGGCGCGGCAGGCCACACTCCGCGCCACGAGGAGCCCCAGGCTGAGGCCATGGACCAGGTGGCCCTGGGCGGGTGCCAGAGCCGCAGCTTGAGGCTTCCGGGCCGGCGGGCCGGCAGGGCCGGCCGGGCCAGCCGACCGGAGACCGGGCGCCAGGAATGCCAGAGCCATGTCCAAACTCCCTAAAGCCAAATGGCACATGCCGGGCCGTTGGACCTTAAGTCACCTCGCGGGCGCAAGAGTGCAAGTGTGCAATGGCCTGGGTAGCCAGGTGGTGGCCCCCCATAGTAGGCTGGAGGCCCGGGAAAGCCTGTGAATGATGTCAAGCGCTTACCATCCGGCTCGGCGTTTTTCGCCGGGCCTGGCGGATGCATTGGTGGTGGATACATCCCAGGCCTTAGGGCCCATAGCTTCAATCACGAGTCCGTAGAGCCAACCCCGCGCGCACAAATCTGCACCCCACTTGCGTTAGGCCCGCTGCGGATATCCTGGGGGCCTCAGGACACATCGAAACCCAATGCCAGAGCGCAGAGCGCATGGGATGGAGCCCCCGGCGGGAACCCGAACGGCGGCCTCAGCTCCAAGGACTCGATTTTCGCAGCTTCTCCGACCAACCCGAAGCTCCCCACGGGTAGCCGAAGGGCACGGGGTACGGCGCCTTACGTCTTGCGCACGAGGCTTTGCGTGTCTAAAGAACCGCCTGGGGCCCGACTGGGTGCATCATGGGCCTGAGTCTTGCGCTGCGGATGTTGCAGTCTGCGTGCGTTGGGGCAATTACTCTCGATGCACTATGGAAACTGAGGTCTTGAAACAGCAGCTGAATGATTATAACTGATTTCCTAACTCAATAAAGCCTGTGCAAGGATCTGCCCAAGGCCGGTGCGGCGGTGCAGCCTAGAGACATAGAGGAGGCTCTTGCAACTTTGCACATGAAACAGGGTGACAAGTGATCTGGTTCTGGGCGCAACGGGGGTGTGCCGCCCATGGATTGAACCTGCGCCCAGCCTTTGCATCCCGGATGCGTGATAGCACTGCCGAAGATGGGTTCCGCGTGCCCCGCAAATCCTGCGGAATAATCAAATGGCGTTCACCGGGGCACGAATTCGTGCAAAAACCGATTTTCCTTCTAGCATCGAGTTCTTCTGCATGGCCAGCAAACGCTGTGGCATAAGTTCCCGAAACGGGAGCAGCCAAAGAGCCAAGCCTCCACTGGAATAAGTTGCCTACGTCTTGCTGCGACCCACGGGCAAATCTAGGGACCATTCCGCTCAACCAGCTGTTATCCAACCCAAAACTGAACGCAACTTTGGAATTGCGGTGTGCGCTTGGTTCGCAGGGTCGCTAGTACGACCCCAATAAATATACACCAATGGAGCATGATGCAACAGCTTTCCAGTTGTTAATTAAGAAAGAGAAGCAAGGGCCGACCTTTGACTACGCATTGAACCTGTTCATGTACCTGCTTTGCGTTACTTTCTACTTCACATTGACTCAATCCAGTACTGTTGGCATCCGAATTGAGGCCTCAAAGTGGAAGGCTAAAGTCTGAGTTGCTTATCGGACCTTTCCTGCCGCTGTCGGACCGATGCACCTCAACCAGAAAATGGTCCCACGGCCCAAAAGTGAATCGCCCAACAAAAATACTGCCTCGAACCGAACTTTAAATCAAGTTCTGAACGATTGTGATTTACGATGCGTAGGACAAGGAAGCTAGGCCGCTTCCTTAACATCTTTCAAGCTCCGCACTAAGTTGCGTCACATAACTTGAGTTCTGCATAAGATGAGCTGGCTGCCACTCCTACCCCAACTGATTTATCTGTGTCTACCCAGTCCCCGGCGCGGTCCCCCTTGCTCAGAACAAGGGCGACCACATGAGGCGGGCACGCCTCAGCCAAGGCAGGGTGAAGAAGAATTCAACTTCGGGCAAAGCGCTGAGGAGACGGCCCGCAGCTGTGATTCCGCGCCTCAGGCCAGTGGAAACATGCGAGCCAACCTGAGAATATGCTAGAAATACGTAACCTAGATGAAATAGATATATGATGTAACTAATGATTCACAAAACACATAGTCATTTCATGCTGACATGCAAAAGCAGCGATGGCCTTGAGCTATCCAACGCTTTTAAGGGCCGCGACTGTCATCCAGGTCGTTGTCATCGATGAAGGCGTCGATGTCGGCCGCCTCAACGGGCACAAAGAAGCAACGCCGCGCAGTCGGGCGCCCGAGCTGGCGGCGCTGGGCATGGGTGGAAGCCCAGGAGGGCCCAGGCCTGCCCAACAGAAACGAACGGGCAAGAAGTCACCTTAAAACCGAGAAACCTCAACAAATGGCTGCATCCAACTCATCAAACGCTTGCTAAACAAGCTGGCGTTGCTGATATTGCCGCTTCCGCCAGCTCTAACGTCCCGAATCTTGGCCTCAATCACATGGACACCAAGTGGCAGCATCTTCACGTGTTCGCTTGGGAGTAAGAAGCCAGCGATCAAAGCCGCCGAAGGGTCATAAGCACCTGCTCCAGGTCGAGCCGACACATGCCGAAAGGCCCCAAAAAATCGCCTGCCACGTCGCCACTGGAAATCACAGCCCTCTTCACCGTGGGCGAGCAGCTTCTCAAGGCGGATGCCTTGGTCGCGCTATTTGGCGCATGCCTTGGCCTCTCTGATGACTCTGCCAGGCTGTGGCTCAGAAAAGTGTACCAAAATGGCAGAAGTTAGGAAATGAAACCAAAGACTTACAAGGTCCCGGCAGCGCTTTCGTTCACTCCGTTGGCCTTGATGTAGTTGTTCACTTCCGCGCCTGGCCACACGCATGCCCCGATCGAAAATCCGGACGGCAGCGCTGAAGACGGTCGAGGCATCGGCTACTCGGCAAGCCCATTGGTCGCCCTGGCCTGAGTCTCTACTTTTGTTGTCTAGTTTTTTTTGCTGCATGAAACGCCGCTGCCAAATGATCGATCTGTGGTCCTGGCGTGCGGCTGGGCCGCTCCTCGACCCGCGCATCGCGGATACGGACCTGAATGCGAAGCCCTTCCCCAGCCCAATGTCTCACAAAATCCCTTGCCCGAGCGCGGAAAAAAGAACCCCTAGGCTGCCACCAGCACGGCAGCGGAGGGATTTCGAGCCTTGGGCCACGTTTCAACAGCGAGGGGACGGAAGGGCTGGGCCGGGCAGCCGGCGCTATTCAAGTCGCCTCTGGACAGCACGCGCCGCTGAACCTGCAGAGCGAACATGCTTTTGAATGCAAGCTGTGCACTTGACAGCTGCACCTCGCCTCAGGCGGGCATTCGCGCAAATCCTGCGCAGCACGTTCCTGGAGGAGTGCCATGAAACAAATCCCAGAGAGGGACGAGATCTGCCCAGTCTGCAGTCTGCACAAAGAAATGGAAGCACATCGAGGCTCTCGCGTCGACCTTGTTGTGCCGGACAAACCTCGGTCGCACATCTGCGCCCCAAAACACGGATTTTTCACTCTGGAGGTGTTGTGGCCGTGGCTCGTCAACCTCCTCCGCTGTTGGAGGTTGCTCCTTCCATTCGGCATGCCAGTCGATAGGCGTGGGTAACGGCCATCAGCTCAAATCATTTGCCAGCAGTGAAAGGGGCAACACAGGCGAAACAAGCGGCATGCCACGTCGAAGTGTGCTCAACAACCTGTTTCATTTGCACGATGCTCCCCCCACAATGCCTCCTCTGAAGAAGCTGAACTGGGCATGACTACCTCCTCCTGCAGGTCTCTGTAGCTGCAAGCTGGCATAAGCAAGCCCTCCGAGGCTCGAACTGCATCACGCGCAGCAGCCCCCCGCTCACCGCGCGCAGTGGGACGGAGCAGCGCTGAAGCCAAGATAGCTGCAACCTACAATGGGCCTACAAGCAACAGCATGCGGGTGAAACCTGCACATTTAAAGCCGATGTCACCAGAGACGAAATGCTGTTGCAATCATATGGCCACTGGGCCACTACATGCTTTCTTTAAGCATTAAAAACCGGACGTGGGAATGTTCATTACATTCCGAGAAGGCATCGAGTTTCCGGGACGCGCTGGCGTACGCGTCGCCAACGTCGGTGGGGAGTTGGCAGAGGCTCGCAGCGAACGCTCCCTGCGCTGCGACTGCGAGCATCTGCCCCCACCGGCGCCTATACGCGGCTGTGGTCTCTCTCCCTTGGCACCCATGGCGCTGCTCGCCGCCATTGCCACCACGATCGCGTCCGCCACCTTAAGGGCCAGACATGACTCCCTTGCCGTCGCCCTTCTTCTTGATCGTTCCCGTCATGCTCGCCCAGGACTTCTCGATCTCCTTGTGCGACTATTTCTTCGCCGCAGTGAACTCCGGGTCGCGCACCAGCTGCTGCGCCATCCCGTAGCTCATGACGTCTGCAAGGTCCTGGCGTGCCGCGAGCTTGGTCAGGCCGTCGGCCATCTGCCGTTCGCTGCTGACCCACCTCCATTCCGCCTTCAAGGAGTTGATGGCGTCCTTCACGCACAGGATCTCCAGTGCTGCTCGCGCGTCCAGGCTGGGCAATGCTCGCGCTTCACCGCGTCGCACAGCCATAGAGCTCGGCGCTGTCGGAGATGCCCTTGCTTGGGGTCAAGTCATGCCAAAGAAGACCTTGACCATCATGAGCTCGTCCAGGGCCATTGCACACGCCTGTGCCTCCGCAGCCAAGCTTGAGCGGCAAACCCGTGGAAGCTTGAACGATCTAGGGTGTAGGGCACGGCCTTGCCGGTCAAAACCTCCTCGCTGCAAGCCACGATCGTGAAGCCGCCCTGGCTGGACAGGTCGCTCCTGACGCTCAACGCAGGCAAGCGAAGTAAATCCTCTCCTGGAGGTACTTGCCATCGCCCTTGTTCAAGCCTCCAGCCAAAATGGACACTGAGGCATTGAGGAACGGGGCTCCTTGGCCGGCAGGCCACTGCCGGTCTCAGCCGGCTCCGCTACCACAACAAGAGCTCAAGGGCAAACGAAGTCCTCCAAGATGACGTAGGTGCCTCACCCTGCGGACTTTTCCACCATGCGCAAAGCCACGCGGTCCAAGGCTAAGGAATGCCCAGCGCACTTGGGCCATATGCTAAGAAAAGAGGCGCGTTTCTTCACACGGATGGCAAGTGCTAGGCGCAACCTGGTCGGAGGGGAGGGGCTCGGGCAGCACCGGAGGGGGCCGCGGGCTAGGTGGCGGAAAGCAACAGTATGGGTCCGCTCTTA